TGGAGAAGGATGTCATGCTTGGTAGGGTGGAGGGTCGACAAAAGAGGGGGAGGCCTTCAATGAGATGGATTGACATGGTGGCTGCGATGATGGGCTCAAATATAGCAGGGATCATGGAGCTGATGTGGGATCAGGTAGTATTTTGTTCTGCTGTGCATGGGGTTGCTATGAGTCGGAAACAACTCAATGGCACCTAACAACAACAACAACATCACTATGGAAGTAGATTGCCCCATCTTCCTTCTGGGGAGTGGCTGGTGGGTTTGAACCACCAGCCTTCTGGTTAGCAGTTAGGTACTTTAGGCACTATGCTACCAGAGCTCCATCTAAAGAATAGATTTGATGCGTTGAACATCAATGACTGAAATTGTGGGATAACATCAATGATATCATCCACGAAGAGAGCAAAAGGTCATTAAAAAGACGAGCAAGGAAGAAAAGACCAAAATGGATGTCAGAAGACACTCTGAAACTTGCCCTTGAGCAGAGAGCAGCTAAAGCAAATGGAAGAAATGACAAGATAAAAGAGCTGCGCAGATTTCAAAGAACAGCTCGAGAAGACAAAGTCAGTTATTATAAAGAAATATGCAAAAACCTGGAGTTAGAAAACCAAAAGGGAAGAACACACTTTGCATTTCTTAAGCTGAAAGACCTCAAGAAAAAGATGAAGCCTTAAGTTACAGTATTCAAAGATTCTACGGGAAATATATTGAATGATGCAGGAAACATCAAAAGATGGAAGGAATACACAGAGTCACTGTACCAAAAAGAATTGATGAGTGTTCATCCATTTCAGGAGGTGGCATATTATCAAGATCCAGTGGTATTGAAGGAAGACGTTGAAGCTGCAATGAAGGAAATGGCGAAAAACAAAGCTCCAGGAATTGACGGATTACCCACTGAGATGTTTCAACAAACTGATGCCGTGCTGGAGCCAGTCACTTGGCTATGCCAAGAGATTTGGAAGATAACTACCTGGCCAAAGACTGGAAGAAATCAGATGACATAGTGCATTGGAAGTCTGCTGCAAAAGACCTTTTTAAAGTGTTAAAAAACAAAGATGTCACTCTGAGGACTAAGATGCACCTGACTCAAGCCATATTTTCAGTTGTCTCCTATGCATGTGAAAGATTGACAGTGGAAAAGAAGGACTGAAGAATAAACACATTTGAATTGTGTTGCTAAAGAATTTTGAATATACCATGGAATACTAGACAAATGAATATATTTTTCTTGGAAGAAGTACAGCCATAATGCTTCTTAGATATGAGATTGGCGAAACTTTGTCTCCTGTACTTTAGGCATGTTATCAGTAGGTATCACCCCCTGGAGACAAGGACATCATGCTTGTTAAAGTAGAGGGTCCATGAAAAAGAACAAGACCCTCAAAGAGGTGAATTTAACTTAGTGGCTTCAACAGTGGGCTCAGGCATAGGAAGGATTGAGAGGATTGGGTGGGACCAGGCAACATTTCATTTTGTTGTACATAGAGTCTCACTATGAGTTGAGCCAACTCAGCAGTACCTAACGGCGATAATAGTAAAATTAATAATGATAATCATAATAAAGTAACATTCATTAAATAGTTACTGTGTGTGAGGTACTCTGTTAAGTACCTTGACATTCATTATGCTTTTAATCTTCATAACTGTTTGGTAGTTGCTTTTATTATTTCCATCGTATCAATGAAGAAACAGACTTAGCAGTTAAAAAAAACTTACCAAGATCTCAGTGCTTACCAGTGGTGGAACTGAAACCTGAAATAAGGGCCATTTGAGCCAAATCCTAACCTGTATACCATGTTGACCCTATGTTCTTATATTTAGAGTGTATTAAGGTTTTAAACATGTATGGTAAGAATTAGTTTTGTTCTCTGTGTTTGTAGCTATGGATGTTTTAAATTACGTGGGAAGAGCTGATGGAAAGAGAGGCTCCTGGAGAACTGGTAAAACTGAAGCCAGGTAAAGTCTAATTGAACTTAATTGATAAATTTAACTAGGCTTTTCTTTCTATACTATATTTTCATACTGACAGTTTCTTTCTCAGGAATGAAGATGAAATGTATAAAATTCTCTTGAATGATTATGAATATCGTCAGAAACAAATCCTAATGGAAAATGCTGAACTTAAGAAGGTTCTACAGCAAATGAAAAAGGAAATGATTTCTCTTCTTTCTCCCCAAAAGCAGAAACCTAGAGAGCGAGCTGATGATTGCACAGGAACTGTAAGTGGTTCTTTTCTTTCTGATACAGTTTTCAGATTGCTGACTAGAATAATGAAAAATACTAGTTAGATATTCTCAACAGGGACACTGTTGGTAGTTTGAACAGGACACTCACTACTGTGCTACCCTCAGTCATTGTGACAATGAAAAAAGTCCCTGTATGGTTCCAGATACATCTCACTGTGTAGATGGTTTGGGGGGGGCGGTTAATTTATGATAAGCAGTATATAAGCATTGTCTCATTTCGTTCTTAAAATAATTTGATGGTTTAGATATTATAATTGTCACCATTTTGTAGATGGAGTAACTGAGGCACAGAGTGCCTTGTTTGTTAGCCCTTATCCTACAGCTGTTTAGTAGCTGAACAGTTTGTCTCACCCTTGAACTCGTGCTCTGAACTGTTAGGATGAATAGCCACCAAATAGTTACTGTGTACGTAAATGAAGGCTCCACTTGTCAGAGAGAGAGATTTTTGTTAATTTTGGGAACCAAATAATCATTCAGTCCATATGTTTATTGGATGTTCATTATGTTATAGTCCCTGAAAAGAAAAAGCTAAAAAGATTTTCATTTTTTCCCTCAAGAAGCTCTTTTGGGGAGAGACGGATGTACAGAGAAGTAATTATATAACATGTTAAATGCTGTAATAGAGTATACAATATGTTAAATTAGGATGGCATCTCTGACAAGGTGACATTTGAGCTGATTCTTTAAAAATAAGTAGGTTTTCAAGATAGAAAGCATTCAATGAAGAGGAAATAATATGTGCAGAGGTCTAAAAAAACAAGTCACATAAAAAAATGGAGAAAAGTTATACTAATTGCTTTATTACATGTCAGCTTACATGGCTTAAAGTCTGTGTTCAAGGGTATTCATATTATTGATTAAACCCAAAAAACCCAAACCCAAACAGAGGATGGCTACATCAGAACACAAAATGGAGGATGACTACATCATTATATAATTGCTCACTTACATCATTATGTAACTGCTAAATTACATTATTACCTTACTGCCAAATAACTGAGAATCATGGCCCAGCCAAGGTGACATATAACCTTAACCAACACAGCCAACTTTACTCTCACCTTGTACCTCAGCATTTGTTATTGCCAGACGTACGTTGTTAATGTGCAAAACAGTCGTATAGTAGATTTTTTTCTGTCTTCATAAATGTGAAATGTTGGATGACAAGATAGATAGTCAGTGAGGAATGGGTGTATTCTGTCTGGTATGCTCTAAAATGAATGGAAGGGAGTATGTGGCTCTTTGAAAGACTTTTGGCAAATAGCTCCAGAGGATTGATTTCTAAGAACCAGAGTCAACAGTGAGCTATTCTTTGGATCTTTCCCCCACTTGCTCTTGCTTCGTCTTACAGACCTTTTTGTTCAACTTTATCTTGCCTGTCTTTTTTCCTCAGCAAGGTTTTGGAGCCAAATTAGTAAAGTATATCTATTCATTTCACTGAAGGTTATAATAATCTTGTTGGTAGGTGCCATCGAGTTGCCTTCAACTCATAGTGACCCTATATACAACAGAACGAAACACTGCATAGTCCTGTATGCCTCAAAATCCTTGCTATACCTAAGGCCCTCATTGCTGCCACTGTGTCAATCCATCTAATTGAGAGTCTTCCCCTTTTTCACTGACCCTCCGCTTTACCACGCATGGGATCTTTCTGCAGGGACTGTCCTCTTCTGACAACATGACCAAAGTAGGTGAGATAAATTTTGGCTATTCTCACTTCCAAGGAGCATTCTGGCTTCACTCCTCCAGGACAAATTTGTTCATCCTTCTCACAGTCTATGGTACTTGGAGTATTCTTCACCAACACCACAATTCAAAAGCATCAGTTCTTCTTTGGTCTTCCTTATTCATTGTCCAGCTTTCACATGCATATGAGGCTGTTGATAATACCATGGCTTGGGTTAGCCACACCTTAATCTTCAAAGAGACATCTTTGCTCTTTAGCAGTTTAAACAGGTCTTTTGCAGCAGATTTGCCCAGTGCACTCCATCTGACTTCTTGACCGCTGCTTTCATTAGTGTTGACAGTGGAACCAAGTAATATGAAGTCTTTGACAACTTCAGTCTTTTTCCATTTATCATGATGTTGCTTATTGGTATACTTGTAAGAATTTTTGTTTTCTTTATGTTGAGGTGTAATCCATACTGCAGATTATATTTTTAATCTTCATCAGTAAGTGTTTCAAGTCATCTTCACTTCCAGCAAGCAAGGTTGTATCATCCGCAGATTGTTAATGAGTCTTCCTTCAATCCTGATGCCTCATTCTTCTTTACATAGTCCAGCTTCTCAGATTATTTGTTCAGCATACAAATTGAGTAAGTATGGTGAAAGGATACAATTCTGATGCACTCCCTTCCTGATTTTAAATCATGCAGTATCCCCTTGTTCTGTTCAAACGACAGCCTCCTGGTCTCTGTACAGGTTCCTCGTGAGCACAATTAAGTGTTCTGGAATTCCCATTCTTTTCAGTGTTATCCATAATTTGTTATGACCTACACAGTTGAATGCTTTTGCATGGTCAATAAATTAACACAAGTAAACATCTTTCTGGTATTCTTTGCTTTCAGCCAAGATCCATTTGACATCAGTATGATATCCCTTATTCCACATCCTTTTCTGAATCCCGTTTGCATTTCTGGAAGTTCCCTGTCAGTATACTGCTATATATGAACTGCTGTATGGAAAATGAATTTGCTCTGTAAACTTTTCACCCAAATCACAATAAAATTAAAAAATACTGCTGCAACCATTTTTGAATTATCTTCAGCAAGAGTTTACTTGTGTGTGTTACTAATGATATTGTTCAATAATTTCCACATTCTGTTAGATCACTCTTGTTTGGAATGGATACAAACATGGATCTCTAGCAGTCAGTTGGCCAGGTAGCTGTCTTCCAAATTTCTTGGCATAAACGTTTAAGTGCCTCCAGCGTGGCATCCATTTGTTGAAACATCTCAATGGGAATTCTATCGGTTCCTGGAGCTTTGTTTTTTGCCAGGTCCTTCAGTACAGCTTCGACTTCTTCCTTCAGTACCATTGGTTTTTGATCATATGCCAACTCCTGAAATATGTGAACATCAACCTGTTCTTTTTAGTACAGTGACTCTGTATTCCTTCCATCTCCTTTTGATGCTTCCCGCATTGTTCAATATTTTGCCCATAGAATTTTTTCAGTATTGCAACTTGAGGCTTGAGAAATGCCAAGCATGTTCTTCCCTTTTGGTTTTTTAACTCCAGATCTCTGCACATTTCATTATAATGATTTGACTTTGTCTTCTAAACCTGTTCTTTGAAATCTTCTGTTCAGCTCTTTTATAATTTCTTCCATTTGCTTTAGCTACTTCACTCAAGAGCAAGTTTCAGAGTTTCTTCTGACATCCATTTTGGTCTTTTTTTCCTTTTCTGTCTTTTTAATGTCCTTTTGCTTTCTTCATATATGATGTTCTTTATGTCATCCCACAGTTCATCTGGTTTTCTGTCACTGGTGTTCATTGAGTAAAATCTATTCTTCAAATGGTTTGTAAATTCAGGTGGGATACAATCAAGTAATACTTTGGCTCTTGTGGACTTGTTTTAATTGTCTTCAACTTCAGCTTGCATATGAGCAGTTGATGGTCTGTTCCACAATCAGCTCCAGGCCTTGTTTTGCTGAAGATATTGAGCTTCTCCATAGCCTTCTGCCACAGATGTAGTCAATCTGATTCCTATATACTCCATCTGGCGAAGTCCACATGTATAGCTGCCATTTGGATTGTTGAAAAAAGGTATTTGCAATGAATAAGTCATTGGTCTTGCAAAATTCTACCATGTAATCTTCCATCATATCACCAAGGCTGCATTTTCCAACTACTGGATTCTTCCTTGTTGCATTCTAGTCACTAGTAATAATCAATACATCCTGATGTCATGTTTGGTCAATTTCAGACTGTAAAAGTTGGTAAAAATCTTCAATTTCCCCATCTTTGGTTTTGGTGGTTGGGGCATAAATTTGAATAATAGTATCAACTGGTATTCCTTGTAGGCATATGGATATTATCCTGTCACTGACAGCACTGATTGATAGATCTTGACACATTTGTTGTGATGATGAATGCCACATCATTCCTCTTCAGTTTGTCATTCCCCACACAGCAGATCATATGGTTTTCTGATTCAAAATAGCCAAAACCAGTCCATTTCAACTTACTAATGCCTAGGATATCGGTCTTTATGTGTTTGCTTTTCATTTTTAACAACTTCAGTTTTGATACTTTGTACATTCAGTGTTCTGATTATTAATGGATGTTTGCACCAGTTTCTTTCCATTTTGAGTGATGCCACATCAGCAAATGGAAGATTCCAGAAGCTTTACTCCATCCACATCATTAAGGTCTACTTTGAGGAGGCAGCTCTTCCTCCGTTGTATTTTGAATGCCTTCCGACCTGAGAGGCTCCTTTCCTGGCACTGTATCAGACAGTGTTTCAGAGCTTTTCATAAAGTTTTCCAGTGCTATCTGAGACAGTGTTTCACTGCGATTCATAAGATTTTCACTGGCCAATTCTTTTGAGAAATAGATGGTCCTTTTCTTCTTCTGAGTCTTTCGTAGCCAGGAGGCTCCACTGAAACCTGTCCACCATGGGTTACCTTGCTGCTCTTTGAAATACTGCTGGCATAGCCTCCAGCTTCACAGCAACACACAAGCCACTACAGCAGGACAAACTGACAGACGAGTGGTAGAGGACCATGTTATATAGATGAATATTATTAGGACATGTATAGTGGGAGCTCTGGTAGCGTAGTGGCTAAGGCACTTGACTGCTAACCAGCAGGCTGGCGGTTCAAACCC